ACCACGAAGTGGCCTACAGTTGGCTCCGGGCATTCAAAATCATGCCCAGGAATGGAGTTCTGGAAATTCGAAGAACACGAAGTGGCCTACAGTTGGCTCCGGGCATTCAAAATCATGCCCAGGAATGGAGTTCTGGGAATTCGAAGACCACGAAGCGCGTTACTGTTGGCTAAAAAAGGAGTCCCCGGATTCCCGCGGCACCCGTCCGGCATCTGCCCAGACCCCCCTGGGGAGTCATGATGCTCTCTTTGGGATCACTAGAAACCTATCAGTCTTCGCTGTTAGGTAATCAGGACGTCGGATGTCTGGGAAAAGAGCTCCAAGACGGCCGAAGCACCTTCCGAGGGCCCAGAAGGGCCCAAGGACGGCCCAGGGAAGTTTCGGGAGGACCCCCAACAGGCACGGAGGAGGCAAACAACCTGGATCTCCAAACACGTCTGGCGGGGGGTCGTCCCCAGTGGGTCCTCTGGGCAGTCCTCCCGCGCAGTCGTCAGGGGGCCGCCGAGTTCGCCGTGAGGGTACGTACGGGGTCCCGAGGGACACGGGTCGCGAGGTGTTGCGCCGTTTCTTGGCCCCGTGCCCTCCTGCCCCCCCCAGGCGAAACGGCTCGGAGTGAAGCACGGGGTCCCACGGGGAAGCCCCCGCTTCCCTCACCGCAGTCCCCGTGCGGCTGTCAGGGAGCCGCCGCGTAGCGCCCGCGGGCGTTGTCAGTCGCCCTCCGCCCGGCTCGCTCCAGCGCGAGGCTTAAGTGGGGCATGTCCCTCGACAGGAGGGATGTTCAAAGATGGGAAATTATCCCAGTGCGACCCTACCTAGGAGTTAGAACCCCTAGGAAAGCAGCATTAGTAGTAACAGTAACGGTAAGCTAAAGCTAAGCTAAAGCTAAGCCACAGCTAAGCTAAAGCTAAGCTAAAGCTAAGCTAAAGCTAAGCCACAGCTAAGCTAAAGCTAAGCTAAAGCTAAGCTAAAGCTAAGCTAAAGTTAAGATAAAGCTAAGCTAAAGCTGAGCAACAGCTAAGCTAAAGCTAAGCTGCAGCTAAGCTAAAGCTAAGATAAAGCTAAGCTAAAGCTAAGCTGCAGCTAAGCTAAAGCTAAGATACAGCTAAGCTAAAGCTAAGCTCAAGCTAAGCTAAAGCTAAGCTAAAGCTAAGCTAAACGCTAAGCGAAAAGCTAAGCTAAGCTAAAGCTAAGCTAAAGCTAAAGCTAAAGCTCCCAGGGGACTGGGGGGAACCGCGGGGCGGGGACTGGGGGAACCGCCCGGGGCGCTTTCCACTGCCCGGCCCCTTTAAGCTAGAGAGTAAGAACCCTTCTAGGCAGAGCCTAGGTAGGGAAAAAATGTCTGGAAACGGTTTTCTGACTAGTCTTGACTATGTTCGATCATTGTTCGACTATTTGTTACCCCTGATCCGCCTGTAGGAGGGCATGCCCGACCTAACGCAAGGCGGAGGGCCGCCCACTGGCACCCCCGACCACGTCGCCGCCGAAGGGCATCGCCGCAGCCAGCATGTCACCCGCCACCCTGGCCGCCCCCTGCAAGCCCGCCCCTTGTCTCAAGTCGAGCGTGTCCCACCACAGGAGGAAGATTCGGAAACAGTTTTGAAAATAGTCTTGTGACTAGCTCTGATTATTTGTTATCATGTTTTGCTCGTTTTTCCGAACATATTTTATTTGTCATCCAAGATCCGCCTGTAGGGGGACATGCCCGACCTCACCCTTGCCTTGCGCGCGCGGCCGTTCACCAGCGCCCCCTGCGCCCTGGCCGTGGCCGCCTCGTGCGACCCTCGCCAGTCGCAGCGAGGCTGAGCTCCACGGAGCCGCCCGCCTCGCTGCCCGTGCTCTCCCTGATCTTCCAGAGTGCTAAAAAATAGCATTCCAGACCTATGGATCTATCTGGACTGCCTCAAACCTCGACAGGAATCAGGACGTCGACGTCCTGGTGCTATTTTCTAGCCCTCCTGGAAGGTCAGGGTTCGACAGGGGGTCACCCCCCGTAACGCCCGCGAGTGCCCGAGACGCCCGATCCGTCGCCCGGGCTTCTGCGGAGTCCACGGAGGCGCTGTGGACCACCTCGCATCTTGCTGCTTGTGCGTCACCGCGACACCGGAGTCGTCGGCCTCCCCGGTTCGCACACCTGAGGGTCACACCACAACGCCTCTGCGGACGTCGTCCACCACAGCACACGGCGTGGCCAGCCTGGGCGAGAGCTGGATGATCGTGTGGCCGCTTGTATTTCCAGCGCTCGGCTCTCGAACGGCTTGGTGCACTGGCCCTCCGCACGTGCATCCAGCGCGGGGCCTCTGCACGTCAGTGCGTGAATCCCTTGGTGGGCCCATCAGGGCCAGCCGGGGGCCTGACAGCCTGGGGCAGCAAGGCGGGCACCGCAGGCGCTGCGCGCTCCTGGTCGCAGACCGCCCCGCGACCCTCGCTTCAGCGCGTGAGGCCACGAGGGAAGCGCCGCCGAGACGGCGGGCGGCGCTCACAGGCCCGCGACTCCCACGCCCCGCCTCGAGGTGTGCCAGAGGCCCCGCCCGCCCCTCCCGCGCGGCGTGCGGGCCTTCCAGGAGCCCGGCGGCGCCCGCACGGGAGCCGCGGAGGAGGGCGCAGCAGGGCCCCCGCCGGCGCGCCACGCTGGCGCGCCAGCAGACTCGAGCTGTGCACGGGGTGGTGCTCGAGACCACGCTGGCCAGCACGGCGCCTCCCGGCGCCGTGCCGCCGCCCTCGGCCGCGGCCGCGCGCGAATCGCGGCGCCCTCCGTCGGCGCGCAGCCCGCCTCGGCGGAGGCGGCTCGGCCGCCGCGGCCTCGGCAGCGCCCTCGCGCCGAGGCCGCGGCGGCAGCCTCGGGGCCGGCCCCCAGCGCCCCGTGCCGCCGGTGGCGCCGTGCGGCGAGCCGCAGGCCCGGCGGAGGTCCTCGGAGCGGCCGGGCGCGGCCGCCGGGGGGGTCTCAGGCGACGAGGAGGCGGAGCGCCCTGGCGCGAGAGCGCGCCTGGCAGGGCGGCAGCGCAGGCTTGCTCGGGGTTCCGGGCGGCCCGTCCCGCCATCGGGTGCGGAGGCTCCGGTTCCCGGGCGCTGTTCGAAGAGCGCGTCCTGGATTTGGGCGGCCCAGTTTTCGTGGGAGGTCTGCAGCGGGAGCTCGCACCCAGTTTCAGATTGGGTCTCGTCGTGTTCACGATGGCACCGCCAGGCCATCGAGCCCCCCCAACCCGAGCCTTACCTTCTCCTCTAGAGGTGGAGCGGTGGCAGGGGCGAGCAGACAGGCGGAGCGCCGTCTGTGCTTGAAGCGTTGTCGAAGCTGTACAGGCGCCGGCGTTGGTTGAAGTGTCACGCGAGGCAGCCAGAGAGCTTGCTCCGGCAGCGGCGTATTATGGATGAATTCTGGATCTGCAGACGTGGCTGGGTGGCATGCTCGGCTCCCCCAGGCACGCGTAGCAGTAGCGGAGCCCTGCTGTCTGCTGCCTCAGACGATGGCCAGGGGCACGAGGGAGGAGGTGGACGAGGACCCACGGTTGCTGAGTGTCTCGTCTTCGTCACGAAATCGGGACGGCTGGTGTTTCCTCACTTTGGGCATCTGGGGGGCAGACTTAGGTCGGGCGTGTCCTCCGACAGGCGGATTTTGGACGAGAATAAGAAAAGAACCAGAAAATGCTCAAGAATATTCCAAAAATCGCCCCCGCATTATTTGTTGTAACTAATTTCTGGATATTCCTCCTGCAGAGGGACACGCCCGACTCCAGGCCAGACCGTTTGAGCATCGGATTGCCCTTTGCGAAGGGGTCGAGAGCGCGGGGGCCCGCAGGCCGGTGAGGTCCGATCGCGTGAGCGGAGGGCGCACGCGCCCCCCACGGGTGGAGACGGCGTTGGAAGGCTACAGTATGCTTAAGTCGGGCGTGTCCCTCTACGGGAGGAACATTCCAAAATCGTCAAGAAATAGTTTGGGGACGATTGTGGTCTGTTTTGACTTATGTGCGAGCATTGTCTGGACTATTGGTTCAATGGTTCGTCCAGAATCCGCCTGTAGGGGGACATGCCCGAACTAAAGCTATGCAAGGTACACACTTGGCATGGGGGGAAACGGGTCCTGCGGGAAACCGGTCCTGCACCTTGGTGCCTTCCCCCAGGACGAGTTTCTTATCTTGAGGCGTTTTCTGATGGTCCTGGGGACCGAGGAGGGCCCTGAAAGCCAAATAACGGCGAAAGACTTCAGGAGCCGTTTCCCGCAGGGCCCGCTTCCCCCATGGCGACACACCCCTCTCAGGACGAAGTTGCTGGCAGTTTGCTGCAAAGCCATGAGGTCTACCAAATCATTTCCGAATGTTGACACATCGACAGCGCGGTGCGAGCGTCGTCAGAAGCTCGAGGTAAGGACGTATGGTGTCTTCTGCACAGATTCCGACGTCCGTGATCTGTCCGCCTTGTCTTCGGGCGTCCCTGAGACCGCTTGCCTGAGAAGGGGATCCGTGTCATGACCATTTGCCAAGAAGAACAATCTCGGCGAGTCCTGGGAATGAGCCGCCACCTCACTCTGCATGCAGTGGGGAACGTCATCTTGAGAAAGTGCACTCTGAAGTCGATGTTTACACCGTCTTCTGCCAGCTGCCTGGCAAGATTCCCCTGGCCGGTTCCAGAAGCAAGCGATGTTGCGAAGCATGATCGATCTCGCATTGGCAATGTTCACGCGTTGTTGCTGCGTCAGTGCGCATGTAGATGGCCCGTACGTAGCCGTGGGTGATACCACGCAATTGAAAAGACGAAGTCGCGGCTTGACAGAAATGTCGGAGGTACGGGGAGGAGGTCAAGGAGGAAGAGGGAGGAGAGGGAGGCGTGTCATGAGCTGACAACTGGCCCTGAGTTCCACGAGCCCCCAGGTTCAAGCTCCAACAGAGTGATGGTTGTTGTAGCCTGGGAGGGCCCCCGCTCGAGTGGGGGCACTCCCGGGCTCCGTCAACCTGCACTCGAGCTCACAGCACGTCCCCAAAAGTCAGGCGCGAGTCCAGCCCTCGCTTATGTTCCAGGGCTGCTTGGTCGTTCGTCAGAGCTCGCGTCGAACGCAAAGCTCCCCAGCACTGGTGCCTCTCGATCGTCCACGGCTTCTTCAAGTCTGCCAAGTGCTCCACGCAGGGCTGGACCTTCGAGGTGGCCCTGATCGCCAGGTGTCCGCCCGGTTGTTTTAGATAATCCCAGACCTCCCACCACCACCACCCAAGCCGTACATCAGCAGGACGCGTTGGCACGACAATTGATTCAGGCACGACATCCGCACTGGCACGCCTCGACAAGATCGAGGCGAAGGTGTTGGTAATAATGGGCCTCCGGGGGAGCAGTTCTGAGGTCCAGGGGCCATCAAAAATTTGTCTGGGGTGAAAGCCGGTGCTCCGTACAGAACGAGACGCAACGTCGGAGATTTGGGATCGCACTTTGCGGTCTTGACCAGGCAGCTGCATTTCTCCATGGGGGCCAGCACGAAAGCGCGAATGGGCTCGGGGCGCGAATGCGGAAGACTTCTTTTGGGCGGGGGGTACAGACGCGCGCGAGAAAGGGCGCGTCTCGGACAGAGGGGCACATCGGCGGCAGCAATGACGAGAAGCACCCCGAGCGGCCGGGGGGGACGATGGCGTCGCGGGTGGGAGAGCGAGGTGTGCTGGCATGGCATGGGCGGGGCACGTGGGAGGCGTTGGGTGCGTCCGTGGGCAGGGGGCAAATGGTAGGACATGACAGGCGCGGGAGCAAGGGCAGAAGTGGCAGGGAGGAGGAAGCGACGGATGAGGAAAGGACGAGAAGGGCGAGGAGAGGGAGGAGGAGGAGGAGAAGGAGGAGGAGGAGGAGGAGGAGGAGAAGAACGACGACGACGACGAGGAGGAGGGAGCAGGAGCGGAGGAGGGATTGGGTGAAGGGAGGAGCAGAGGAGGAGGAGGAAGGGGGACCTCCCCCCCTCCCTCCCCATACTCCCCCGCCCTTCCCCAGACATCCAAAGGCGTGACCACTTCGCAGTGTGACTCCCCAGAGGCCCGGCCCCTTCCACGGGGCCGCGCTTGTGGCCCCGAGTTGTGTGTGTCGACGGCCCGAGGGCGCTTGGCAAGGGCCCCCAGAAGCCGGAAAACGGCCGAACACCTCGCGCCTTGTGCGTCTCCCATGACGCGGCCCGTGGCGCGCCGAGGCGCGACGGACGGGTTGGGCAGGGGCGCTCCTACCCTCCCCTTGCCGGTGATCCTCCTCCTCCTCCCCCCCCGCCCTCCTCCTCCTCCTCCTCCTCCTCCTCTCCTCCTCCTCCTTCTCCTCCTCCTCCTCCTCCTCCTCCTCCTCCTCCTCCTACTCCTCCTCCTCCTCCTCCTCCTCGTCCGTCGCCCCCCTCCCTTCTCTGCCTCCTCCACCTCCCCCCTCCTTCCTCCCCATCATCCCTCCTTCTCCTCCTCCCCCCCGCCTCTTCTGCGCAGACACTGCTCGCTGCATGGTATCACGCCTCCCCGTCGTGGATCGCCCATGCCCTGCCGCCTTCGTTGCCTTTTCGGTCCCTGGCCTTCCCCGTGGGCCAGTGGTCCGTCGCTTTACGCGCAGGTTGCGAACTTCCGCTTTGGCGTGTCCATGGCCGTTTAGGTCTGGCTCTTGCGCTGCAGTGAGTCAGCCCATGCGCCAGGTCAGTGCACTTCGCTCTGTCCCCATTCCACTTCTGCTCCCCCGCTTGGCCTGGGTTGGCGCCAGCCCGTTAGGTACTCGAGCCTCCCTCGCTGCTTCGTGGCAGCTCTCACCATTGCCACTCTTGTTAGCGACCCGGTTTCAGACCAGGCGATTATGCATTCGTTCGCTGCATTACCCACCTCCGTTTTCTGCGCTCCTGTTTTTTTTCTCGCGCAGCCTCCCGCTGCACCACCGCTCACCGCAGTCGACGTCTCTTTGGGCGTGTTTGTTTCTAGAGGGCTGGTCCTGGCGGTAGCGTTGGTGGCGAATCTTCGACTCTTTGCGCCACCCATCTGTGTTCAGCCACACCAGAGCAGGAGCACGTCTCATTGCAAGGCCATGCGTCGCATCAACCTCCTCCCCCTCCTCGCCCTCACCCTCCTCATCTTCCTTCGCCCCCCTCCCTTCTTCCTTCCTCTCCCTTGCTCCACCCTTTCCGTCCTCTGCAGGCGCTCGCGCTTCTACGCCGGGACGCGCTACCGCAAGAGGGGCGTCAACGCGGACGGCCAGGTCGGGCGTTGGGCGCGATGGGGTGGGGGGAACGTCGAAGCGGGGTCGGTTCGAGGAAGAGGGCAGCACAGGCCACTCAGGGGGCAGAGAATGGACAGAGGCGGGGAGAAAGGTTGGAGGAGGAGGGGCAGTCAGGAGGGGCGAAAGTTGAATCGTGCGAAGGGGGATTTCGGAAAGGGGGGAGGAGAGAGGAGAGAGGCCAGCTAGGTGCGCTCGAGCCACATGTGACATCCTCTCCCTCCCTCCCATACCTTCCCATTGCGTTGCGGACGCGTGTCATAGCCGACCTGGAACTCCGACAAAAAGACCTCATCGTCTTGTGCGCAATCGGAAAGTGGAGCTGCGTACATCGGGTGAGCAGAAGGAGGAGGAGGAGGAGGAGGAGGAGGAGGAGGAGGAGGAGGTGGCGGATGAGCAGGAAGATACGCAGGAGAACCAGGAGGAGGATGTGAAACGAGGATGACAAGGACGAACCGTAGCAGCAGTAACTGGAGCGGAAGGAGCGGGAGGAGCAGGACGGCCAGGGGAAGAAGGAGGAGGGGAAATCATTGCTTCGTCAACGATGAGAAAAACTGGATGCAGAAAAGTCGCCCACTTTGGAGCGAGAGCGCCAGAAAGTCTGAACGACGGGAGCAGAGCACCGATCCGAAAATGAAGCTTGGGAGCACCATTTTGAAACCGATAACAATTGGATTGCGTTCATTTTTCAAATAGAAAAGCAGCATCGTGCAACCTTGTGTGTAAGAAGAGTTCGCGGAGAGGGACAGAGATCTTCCAGGCAGAGTAAGGGGAGAGAGGAGAATAGTATTCAGAACGTGCAACTGTAAAGTGGGAGGAGGAGGAGGAGGCAAAAGTGGCATGGACATGGACATGGAGACGGAGAAGGAGGAGAATGAGAAGGAAGAGGAGGAGGAAGACGAGGAGGAGGAAGAGGAGAAGGCGGAGGACGAGGAGGAGGAGGCGGCGGCCAAAGTGAGATTGAGATGGACATGGGATGGGGAAGGAGGAGGAGGAGGAAGAAGAAGAAGAAGACCAGGGGGAGGAGGAGAATAAAGAGGATCAAGAGGAGAAGGAGGGGGGGGGAGGAGGAGGGGGAGGAGAAGATGACCTTTTCGCATCCCGCGGCCTGGAGGAAGTGAGGGAGGGGCGCAGCCCGAAGCATGACGATTGGCCTGTCGACGAGCCCCGCAGAGTGTGGAACCTGCACTGCTGCTGCCTGGGAGAGCGAGGAGGGCAATGAAGGAGGTGGGAAGGACGAGGTGGAGGAGGAGGAGGAGGAGGAGGCGGAGGAGGCTGAGGCGAAAGTGAGATGGACATGGAGATGGAGAAGGAGGGGAGGAGGAGAGGAGAGAGGAAGGAGGAGGAGGAGAGGAGGAGGAGGAGGAGAACGAGGAGGAGGAGGATGAGGAGGAGGAGGCGGAGGCGAAAGTGAGACGGAGATGGACATGGAGATGGAGAAGGAGGAGGAGGAGAAGGAGGAGGGGGGAGGGGGAGGAAGACGACGAGGAGGAGGAGATACAGGAGGAGGAGGAGGAGGCGGAGGTGAAATTGAGATGGACATGGACATGGAGATGGAGAAGGAGGAGGAGGAGGAGGAGGAGAGGAGGAGAAGGATGAGAAAGAGGAGAAAGAGGACGAGCAGGAGGAGGAGGAGGAGGAGGAGGAGGAGGGATAAGGAGCGGCGAGGGAGCAGCGGGCGTGGAGGAGCAGGGTGGGTAGGTGGGAGGAGGGACGGGGGACGAGGGAGGACGCGAAAGAGTGCACGGGGAGGTGGAGCAGGAGGAGGAGGAAGAGGAGGAACTGTAAGGGGAAGAAAAGGAGGAGGGAGGGCGAGGATGGTGAGCAGGGGTGGAGAGGGCATGGATGATGAGGTGGAGTTGGAAAATGGTTGGTAGGATGCGGAAGCGGAGGAGGAGGAGGATGGAGGACAAGGAAGAGGAGGATGCAGCGGAGGGGGAAGGAGGATGAAGCGGAGGTAGGAGGAAGAGGAGGGGGAGGAGGAAAGATCCTGTTGACGGGGACCAGGAGGGAAAGGGCAAGGAAGCGGATGGAGGAATAAGGAAGCAGGTGGAACAGGAGGAGAGAGAGAGAAGAAGATGACCATGAAGCAAGTCTATAGAACAATGGGGGATGAGGATGATTCGAAAACCGGTGTACAACAGAGGGCGGAATCAAGATGGAGAGAGAAGGGATAATGATGGTTGGATGAGCTAGGGGTGCGCAAGCCCGATGAATTGCGCTGAAGCCGCAACGACGAGAAGGCCACAAGCAAAAGAAAAAAGAGCGCGGCAACCCTTAGCCGCGCTGGGCGTTACCTGTTATGGGAACCCCTGCACGCCGGTGGCACTTGGCCTTAAGATTCATAAGGGCCGTGGACCTACCCTGGCGAATATACCGAGTGTATGGGCAACTGCAGTGGGCTACTACAGCAGGGGATTGACTGGTCTAGGAGGCACCACCACAGCTGAAATCAAACACGAAGGGGTATTCGGATACCGTATGGTGTCCTCGGAGGAGGGTAAGATCCATATCCCTTGTGGCCTCAGGCCTATTAGATACAGAGGCTAGAGGGCCTAAAGAGCTACTAGCAGATGCAGTATCCGCAGGGGCCTCAGGCAGAGGCCCATCCCCAGAACCCAGGCAACTATTCGCGGCAGCGTCAGTGCCCTCCACACGTCCCCACGCCTCCCACAGGAGCAAGCGGATGGGAAAGAGGAAAATTGAGGTTGGAAGGAGGGAGAGGTGGCGGGAGGGAGGAATGACGAAGGAGGGAGGCGGCATGTGGCGGAGGAGGAGGAGCAGCAGGATGAGGATAAGGTGGAGGAGAAGGAGGTGAAGGGGTAGGGTGAGTAGTGGACATGTGGTGCATGAGCAAATGGAGGAGCATTCGGATGCGGAAGTGAGAGGCATCGAATACAGACAGCGAGCCATACGGATTCGATGGGGCCTTCCAGCAGCCCTCTCCCCTTCCGCTGTACGGAAGCAGGTGGCCAACGACGTCGAGACCGAGCAGCTTGTTTGCGACAACGCCACGCGCCACTTGTCCCAGCCTTGAAGGGGCAGAAGGGCTCCTCCTCCTCCTCCTCCTCCTCCTCCTCCTCCTCCTGCTCTCCTCCTCCTCCTCCTCCTCCTCCTCCTCCTCCTCCTCCCCCCTCCTCTTCCTCCTCCTCTTCCTCCTCCTTCTACTGTTCCTCCTCCTTCTCTTGTCCTCCCTCCGTTCGGGAAGCTGAACAAATACGAAGTGGCCAGCCTGTACGACAGTTGGGTGCACATGTGGCGAACCCATGCCTAACTCTTGGCCATCGCATGTGCGGGTATATGGGCTGGTCCTCCGCACGTCTCGCATGTGACTCCGGCCGTGTGTGTTTCAGCTCCCCGTTTTTACCCAGAGTACTTCTAATGATGTCTCGGCGTCGTACCCGTTTGTACGCCGCAGCTACAAGGTTTCCTCTTCAAAGTTGGCACTTCCACGCCGGGTTTTGTGTCGGTGTCCCGAGTTTTCAGTGGCAGGGCTACCTACCATTCGCTTCAAGTGCTTCTTACTCAAGTTTGCCATCGTCCGCTTCAAGGTTTCCCTTTGAAGGCCAGCTACTCTCAGCCAACGTTTGTAGGTGTCATCCGTGCGCACGGTACCCAGATTTCCAGCCATCTGGCACCAAGGGCTTCCTTTCCAAGTACGTGTCTCTGAGCCTGCGGCACCATCTTTTGCCTCCAGACATCTTGGTGTTCTTCAATGGCCGCAAGGCTTTCCACCTCGCGCAGGTGTCCCGCTGCTCGCACGCAGCTGCACGACCGCCCAGCACTTCCGCGCCGACCTACATGGTCTGATCGGGTTCCGCCGTGTCTCTTTTCTCGTCTCTTGCTCTGTCGTTTCGTGCCTGCATTAGCTCCTGGTGCAGCCCACCGCTCGCTTTGACTGGCGCCTGATCGTACCGCACAACCTGGCGCCCGCGAACGTTAAACGTTTCAGCTCCCAGGAACGTATTTCGCCAGATGCCGAAGGAAGTCGTGCGGGGACAGCCTTGGCACAAAGGAACAAACAATGACACAAACATAGGATTCGGATGTCCGCACGACTTCCTCGGATTGGCTCCGCGCCAGGGGCGGCGCCGCAAGCGCCGTCAAAATGCACCGCCGGAAGCGGCACCGCGCTTGGCGCACTCGGCGCGCCAGGGAGTGGGCCCCATTGCCGATCCGAGAATCCGCGCGGGCCTCCGAGGTTTATGTTTATGTCAATGCTTGCTCTCCCAAACTTAGCAGTAGCCATTTTCACCAGACGTCCCTGTGTCCCGCCTCCCGTCTCAGACGCCCCAGTGTCTCGCAGATCGCCGCCGTTGCCAGGGACCTCCGGCTCTCCAGTCGCCTTCGCCCCGCACTGCCTCCCTCGCTCTTGCCTGCTCTTCGCCGGATGCCAGGGGGCGCCGCGCGGTGGTGCGGGGGAGCCCAGCTCTGCATGCCTCCCTCGTCCTTCCCTCCCGCCTTGCTCCTCACCGAATGCTGGGGGACGGCGTACGGCGACAGGGGAAGCCGAGGGCCGGCTCGTCGAGACAGGAGGGGGACCCCGTGCAGTCGCGCTTGGCTCTGGGCTCCGTCTTGGGGCCTGCTTGGGCCGTCTCGGGGCCCTCGTGGGGCACACCAGGGCCGTCACGGAGGCCTCTCGGGCCGTCCTGGGGCCCTCTTGGAGCCATTCTGGGGGCCTCTTGGCCCGTCTTGGGTCTCTCGTGGAGGCCTCCTGGGCCGGGTTTCGGGGGGCTGCATTGGAGGCCGATGGAGCCATCGTGGGGTCGTCGTCCTTGTTGGAAACTAGAAGAGGCAAGAGTGCAACAACGGACCGTCTTGGCAAGAGTCATCTTGAGGACATATTTGGCTGTCTTGGCCGCCGTAGAGACGCCAAAGCTCCGTCCTGATTACTATCACGACGATGAATGTCTGGGGAGGGCAAGGAGGGGGCAAGCAGGTGGTGGTGGAACGGCGGCATGGACACGCCAATCACACTCTCCAGCACGAGACCTGAAGAGGAGGGGGGCAAGCATAGGGGAACTCGGAGGTCCGCGCGAATTTCTCGGATCGGCGTTGGACCCCCTGGCGCGCGGAGCGCGCCAGGGGCGCCGCCAGGGGGTCCAGCGCGGATCCGAGAAGTCCGCGCGGATCCGAGGAAGTCCTCCTCCTCCTCCTCCTCCTCCTCCTCCTCCTCCTCCTCCTCCTCCTCCTCCGCCTCCTCCTCCTCCTCCTCCACATCATCATCCTCATCCTCATCCTCATCCTCCTTCTCCTCCTCCTCCTCTTCCCCCTCCTCTTCCTCCTCCTCCTTCCTCTCCTCCTTCTCTTCCTCCTCCCCCCCGGCAGCAAGGAAGGACGCTCTGCGCGTGGGTGCGGGGGCACTCTTAGGGGAACAAAAAGTGGCATAAGCATAAAAGCTCGGAGGTCCGCGCGGGTTTCTCGGATCGGCGCTGGGGCCCCCCGGCGGCGCCTCTGGCGTCGCCCCTGGCGCGCTCCGCGCGCCAGGGAGGAGGGTCCAGCGCCGATCCGAGAAGTCCGCGCGGACCTCCGAGTTTTTATGTTTATGTTTTTTGGTTCCCCTGAATGAAGGACACCGCTGCGCGTGGGTGGGGGGGCATTCTTCCCTGGTCCCAGCGCACGGGGGAAAAATAACACTGTGCCCACTCACGGCGCCGTCACCTCTGGACAGCCCCTTGGTGGGACCCAGTGGGACCAGGATAGCGTGCGCTTCCTCTCGTTCTGGCACGCCCTTCGCAGCTTTCCAAGGCGTCCTGCCCGAGGGGACGCCCCAAGTCGCTGCAGAACGAGCCCGCGCAGGTGCCCCAATGTCGACGACGATGACGCCGACGGGGCGGGCATCAGAGGAGATGTGTTTCTGGTCCGCGCGGGGTCCTCCTCGTCCTCCTCCTCCTCCTCCTCCTCCTCCTCCTCCTCCTCCTCCTCCTCCTCCCTCCTCCTCCTCCTCCATCCTCCTCCTCCCCCTCCTCCTCCTCCTCCTCCTCCTCCTCCTCCTCCTCCTCCTCCTCCTCCTCCGTGCGGCCTCTGGGACCGAGCAGCCGGGGGCCGCTTCCGAGATCGTGGCCGCGATGCCAGGCAGAGAATCCACGAGCACCCCGCCCACCGGGAGACTCGATGCCAAGAGGTGGCCCCTTGCGAGAGCTGAACCGGGGTCTCCGGGCCCCTCGCCCCGCGCTGTGCTTGGCCCGGCGAAGTTTCTTCCGCGCGCACGGCGCGGATATGCCCTAGCACCTCGGCGCGAACGACCAGTCCAGCGGCTCGAGCCGATCACTGCACCGTCGGGGAAACGTAAGACTCGAGTAAGCCAGAGCTCGGGTTTGCCGACGTGGTCCAGTTTTCGTGGGATGTTTGCAGCGGGAGCTCGCGTCAAATTTCAGATTGGGCCTCGTCATTTTTTCTGATGGCCCCGTCGGGCCAACGCGAGTCCTCCGTACCCGAGTCTTACGTCTCCCCGACACAGGCAGACAAGGAAATTGCCGAAGCAGGTCTGCGAGTTCGGGGGCGGGGGTGACTGGCACAGGTCTTAGAGGCCACGTCGGATCCTGACCCGCCAGGGGTCCCCGCGGAGGTCCCCCGCAGAGGCGGTGGCCCGAGACGGGCCAGAAGCAGCGAAGACCCATTCGGAAACGCCTCCAAAGACCTGCCGGCTTATTTTGATACAGTCGAGGATTTGATTCAGAAGCCTCCTCCCGAAGAGTTGGGCCAGCGTTTCTGAACATACTTGCCGGAGGCTGACCCAGTTTCTTGAGCGCGCCCGCTCCTCCCAGGCGTGTTTGAAGCAACTTCCAGGAAGCAGCTGGCCCAGGTTTCTGCAACGTTGGCGTTCTTGATCAGATGTTCGGCTGCAGCATCCGAAGACACTCGAGGCTCGAGGGAAACGCTGCAGCACGGGTGAGTGTGGCGCACAAGCCAGGGGGACGCCGCGCTGCTCGCCTCCGCTGGGGGAGCGGGCTTGCGCCCCCTCTGCGGGTTCTGGTCTCCCCCCCATCCTCGTCCTCGTGAGTCTTCGTCGACCTCATCCTCCACCTATCCTCCCTGTCCTCCCCCCCTCCACACATCCTCCCCCTTCTCCCCCTCGGCGTCCTCCTCCCCCTCCTCATCCTCCCCCATCCGTCCCCTCGGCGTCCTCCTCCGCCTCCTCACCCGCGACAAAAACCGACGCGAACACAGGGTTGCCCGCGCCACAGGCCACTTACGCCATTGCATGCCCAAAAGGAGGCAGAGGCGGGTGGCTCATCCGTAAATAACGTCTAGAGGGCTCTAGAGCCGTCCTACTCGACTCATATCCGCCGTGCGGAGTGACTCAATGAGCAGATGCCACTTTTTGTTTATGGAGAAGCGCGCTGGCGCACGCTTGAGACCTGCCAGCACCCGCGCTCCCCAGCTGCCTCGGGGCGGTGGACCAGCACAGCCCTGAGAGAGATTGGCCCCTCCAAGCCCACATAGCACACACACACACACACACACACACCACACACACACACACACACACACACACACATACCAAATCCACCGCCTCCCCTCCCCCGAGACGGCGAAGGGATGCACCACATGCACCCTCTCACCTGCCTGGAAGACGCGGACACAGGCAAGATCAGCACGAGATAGATTAGGAGGACAGACTGGTGGCAGCGGCAGCACAGACAGGCTCGTCACAGTTGGGTTCGTGCTGCTATTCTGCTGCCTAGACGCATGCATACCGTCAAGATCGCACATGCGGGGCCCAGTGCGTGAGATCCACGGAGCCTAGCGCCAGAGAACGTCTGCCTTGTTCTTGCGGGCGGTGCGTACATCCTCGGGCACGAGGGCACACTGAGCCATGCACTGGGCCCAATCGTCTGCTTGGCTGATGCCCTCCTCAAATATGGTGGAGCCAAGCCTGCATTCGAGCCTCCGTGCAATGCGCTTTCACTTTGCGAAGCTCTCCACATTCTCCCCCTCCTTCCCCTGGGCCTCCTCCTCCTCCTCCTCCTCCTCCTCCTCCTCCTCCTCCTCCTCCTCCTCCTCCCCGCCCCATCCAGCTACTGAGGTCTCGCGGGCACGTGACCAGCTTCGTGCAAATGCGCGGCAGCGTGCCGATCTTCTGGTCGCAGGACCCCGCCCCGACGACGCGGAATGGGGAAGGGGCCTGCAAGAGGGAGGCGTCGGGCGTCACCCTCCCTGACCTCGGCCTCAGGGAGGGCGCCCGCGCGGTAGGCAGTTCGGTGTCGCCCGCGGAATATGCGGGCCGCGCAGAGCGACCCGGCCGGCCGCGGTGCCCCGACCAGGCTGGCGCCACCAAGCCGTTCAGAAGGAAGAAAGGGTGGAGGGGGAAGGAGTAGGTCGAAGAACCACAGCGCGCAGAAGCAGAAAGCGTTCGGAAGTCGGGGCGTATTGCATGTCGGGTCGGCGATGGACTTCCCTGTTGTGTTCCGGAAGCCCGTAAGCTTCTAGCGAGCACGGGCATCGTTCCTTCAATGGTTGCCTCCACGCGTGTAGCTCGTGCACCTACCATGCGACAGGCGGTGATAGTTGGAGGGTACGTGATGGTGATGTCCGCTTCCATCTTCTCTCTCCAAGAATTAGCCTGGCGAAGGAGCCAACCATATGTAGCTGTGAAAACCGTTATGTGGTTATCGCGTTCGGTGGAGCTCCCATTGGCGCCGCGAAACGCGCGAGAAGTGTGCCATAATGGTGGTGGGGTGCTGAAATGGAGCACGGAGACGCACGTGGGCCCTCCCACTGGGACTTTCGGTGGAATTCCCTATGGGGGCACGAAACGTGCGAGACGTGTGCCAAAAGAAGGCAGGCAGACGCATCTGGACCCGGCCACTGGGCCCTTCGGTGAAGCTCCTTGTGGGCCACGAAACTGGTGGGACCACACTCTTTTTTTTGGCGCCGCTGGCGGCGCAGTGTTCTGGTTCACTTTGTAGATTCCCGGGCGGGCGACACCAGGTCTTCGAAGGCAGTGCTCCAAGGGCGAACGTTGGACCCTCGTCGCCGAACCTTCCCTGCCCGCCTGGTTTCCCCTGTGGTCCGCGTGTATACACAGCTCTCTCAGTAAATCGAGTAACACCGTCTCATCCGCCAAGCCGCAGATATTGGTGGATGCTACTCGCGTTCGAGCTAGCTCTATCGGTTGGTTGTCGTCGATGCTGTAAGCTAGCGTGGCACCGCTGCGAGAATGCTCTTGGCCGTTGGGGGGAAATAGTACATGTAGCAGCCCTCAAGAACGGAGCGCGCGCACTGGGACAGAGCGCGCAATGCTACATATTTCCACCCGTGGCCGCCCTGCGGCTCATGTGGTTAATTGCGTACCTTGGGCCAGCCATCAGTGCTTCATCATTCATTACGCACTGGCGCAGAAGTATATGCAAGTGCGTTCGAGCTAACTCGATCATTTGACCATCGCCAGTGGTGTAAGCTACCGTGGCACCGCTGAGAAAATGTTCCTGGCCATTTGGAACTAGTGCATCACGATTCTCGTCGTCTTTGTTCATTGTTCCAGATTCCCATCTTCTCGTCGTCCCTCATCTTCCGCCTCCGTTTCCTCATCCGCCGCCTCTTTCTCGTTATGATATTTGTCGTCGTCTTTTTGCGCCTCCACTTTCGTCCCTCACTTCGCTTCCACTTTCTCCTCCTGCTATAATATGACACGAGTGGTTTTGGTTGTTGGGGGATCAGCAGAGTTAAAACGGCAGGAGCTGATTGGATGCGTGATGAAGGGGAACGAGGGGAGAGAGGGGGCAGGGGCGGCGGGGGCAGAAACGATGAGGATAAGGGAGAAAACTGATGATAAAAAGGTAGTGAGGAGGAGCAAGGTGTCCAGATCCTGGCGAACCCTGAATTTGGATACACGTGGAGGCCTGGGCTGTCCTCCTCTCCCTCTGCGTCCCCTTCCTCTCCGCGTAGCATGACTGCCAGAGCTTCCGGCGAAGATCCGGTGTTTCGTCACAGATGTCTTTTCGTTATTGCCTCTTCGGCCCGTCCCTGGTTGGCTCTCTGCCAGCGAAGTTGCTTCAGCATCGGTGCCCAAGGTTCCCAAAGGCTTCTGGCCCATGGAGGCCCACGAGGGACACAAACGCCGACCAACCTCGAAATTCGAACCCCACCCCCACTCCTGCAACCCATCCTGCGTCGCCACCGCGCTTGTTTCCTGTAGAGTAGGGCGCCGCAAAGGGGCCATTTCCGCCGAGGTCCATGGCGGCGGGAGGAGCAGGAGGAGGAGGAGGAGGAGCAAGAACAGGAGCGTCTTGGATAGTTTCAGAGAATGTCGCTGGTATCCGGTCAAAGCTTTGTTGTTTCGGAGATCTCATAAGCTTCTGGCGGTTCCACGGGGAGCTGGAGAGCGAAGTGTTGTTTCAATTGTGTGTTCGAGGGGGCGCAAGGGAATCTCTAGCACTCAAGGGAGTTCCGGGGGGGGGGGGCCAGTGGTCCCTACGGTGTTCGCATGCTCTGGGCGGGAGGGGGGAGGAGGGCAGGGCGTAGGGGCTCTGTCCTGGGAGGGGCGGAGGGGGAAGATGAGGAGGTCTGGACGGCTGCGCCCTGTGCTGGGCAGCATCGGGAGACGGCGGTTCACGCTGGCAGCAACCCTCCTCCCGCGCCGCGGTCTTCGGCGCGGGCCTGGCGAGGCTTGCGGACCTCTCGGGTGACCGCACGCAAATATCTATCACGCGAAGGTCTGGGGAAGGTGTTTTCAGACGGGCGTCTCGTCGAGGCGCTCGGTCGTGGACCCACCCGGACGTGTCGGCCCGAGAAAGTGCCTCGTGCGTGTCTCGGGGACGGTCTGACCCGGTTCGGCGCTAGCCCAGAACAGCCAAGGCCATGTCTTGAACCCCGGCCGGACACGCAGTACTTCACACATACCCGGGTCAGCGGAGGGAGGTGAGGGGGCGTTCGGCTCCCACGTGGTTCCCAAACCCATGTCGGCCAGAAGGGATCGGAGTGGATTGCCCCGCCCCCGTTAGCATCTCACGTGCGCCCCGAATCTCTTTCGCATTCCGGGTTCTAGATTGAATCATCAGCCCATGGCAGCAGATCAGCGCGCCCAGCCTGAGGAAGTCACCGCGATCAACCCGAAGCCCCCGATCGTGTACCAGCGGTGCGACCCGACTCTGTCGGTTCCAGCCCCGCTCGCGCGCCAGTCGCCATCGGTGCGCGCAGCCTCGGGCAAGCAGGCTGATGTGGCGCTGGCAGGTCAGCACGGACCAGAGACTGATGAGGATGACGGGTGAGGCTTGCCAGCAGGGCAGCAGCAGAGAGTTGTATACACATGACGTGGCCAGTCTGGGCGAGAGTTGGGCACACGTGTGGCCAAATGTTTGTCCGTGCGTTCCACTTGGGAATCCAGCCGCACGACTTTCGCTTCCAGGCCTTTTGTAATGAAGATTACGGGTAATAGTTGCCGGTAGGGTCGTAGTTGCTAGGCAGTTCAAGCAAGTTCTTGGCATCAATTCTGCGGGCGTGCAATACCCGTTGTCGTATTGAGCGCGCGTATCTGGCTGCCTGCACAACATGATCATATGGGGCCATTGGTTTGTGTGCTCAGCGCGCACGCCATACACAGACACAATGTCCGTAAGTGCGCTTGCGACGATTCCAGAGGTCCTCAGAAGCCGCATGAACAGAAGAGTAAACGATGATCATGACCAATTGGGAAATCACAAGGTCGAAGAATGCGAGGCTGAAGCGGCGACAGCTGTAGGGCGAGTCGTCTTGAGGGTCCCTCGGACGCGGCCAAAAGGACTGGGGCTCTCCTCCATCCTCTTGCCTCCTCCGTACTCTTCCTCCCTCCTCCCCTCTCCCCGTCCCACCGCTGCCTGATCTCGTCAGTTGTGGCAGTCCTCTTCCTCCTCTTCCTGCCCCCTGCCTTCCGAGAGTGCTGCCCCCCCTCGCCCCGGCAGCCAGCTGCCCCGCCGCCGGCCCTCCCACCGGTCCAGGCTACCCGGCTGCATTTCGGCGACCTGCTGGAGCGGTACGGCACGCCCCAGGTCGTCGTCAACCTCATGAAGGCGGGGGGGGGCGGGGGGGGGCACGGAGGGGCGGTCGGGCGGAGCGGCGACACGACAGAGAAGAGAGCGGGGAGGGAGGAAGGGGAGGGGAGCAGATGGAGGGAGAGGAGAGGAGAGGAGAGGAGAGGAGAGGAGAGGAGAGGAGAGGAGAGGAGAGGAGAGGAGAGGAGAGGAGAGGAGAGGAGCGGAGCGGAGCGGAGCGGAGAGGAGAGGAGAGGAGCGGGGGGGAGGGAGCAGGAGGGAAGAAGAGAGGTAGGCAGGGGGGGGTGGGGGAGGAAACGGGAGGAGGGGAGGACGAGAGGGAGGGAAGGAGGAGAAAGCGGGAGGATGAGGAAGCATGAAGCTCTCTCCCCCCATGCGCCCCCTCCCTTCTCACCCTTGATTGTCCCTGCTCGCCTCCGACGTTTCCCAGAGATATCGTGAGTGGTTCAATGGCGGCGCTCTTCAGAATTTCAGCCAGCGCAGACTCCAAATAGATCAGATAATTTTTCTCAAATTGAATTGAAGTGAACTGGAGGGGACTGATGCAGATTGGAATGGAGAAGACGGGACTGACAAGGATGGATTCTACTCCACTCTACTCGATGATACCCGTCTCTACACTACCATCTACCCTACTCTGCTCTATACTATACCCTACCCGACCCTACCCTAACCTACTCTCTTCTACTCTACTCTACTCTATTCTACTCTACGAGGGAGCGCGTTTCACTGGCGCTTGCCTTGGGAACATTCGGCGGCGCGTTTGAACTGGGTGGGGGGCCGCCGCCCCCCGAACAGTCGGCGCCATCGAACAGAAACGGGGGGACTCCCCCCCCTGCCCCCCCCCGAACATCCCCCCTCCCCGCCCAACGCCAGCGCCGGCGCCAGCAGCGCCCACGCCCACGACCACGCCCACGCTCACGCTCACGCGCACGCCCACGCTCACACGCACGCCCACGCTCACGACCACGCCCACGCCCACACCCAGGCCCACGCCCACGCCCACGCCCACGCCCACGCCCACGCCCAGGCCTACGCCCACGCCCACACCCACGCCCACGCCCACGCCCACGCCCACACCAACGCCCACACCCACACCCACACCCACACCCACACCAACACAGACACCCACACCCACGCCCACGCCCACGCCTACGCCCACGCTCACGCTCACGATCACACCCACCTCCACACCCACACCCAGGCCCACACCCACACCCACACCCAAACCCACACACACACACACACACACACACGCGCGCGCACTCACACACGCAGCACCACGACGCACGCACGCAAAGCACGCACGTACACACGCATACCAACCAACACGCATACACAAACCCGCACCACACCCACACACACACACACACACGCACATGTTTTTGGGTGTCGCGGCCACACGCGCAGCGTCGAAGCGTAGAACACACACACACACACACACACACACGCACACTCACAACACAACACACAATATACACACACACAGACTCACACACACACAACACTCACACCACGCACACACTTGCACGCACACACACACACAGACCACATACACACACCACAACACACACACACACACACACACACACACGCACATACACACACACACGCACACCCCACACACACCAACACAACACACACAGTACACACAAAGACACGCACACGCAACACACACACACACACATCACGAAGGCAGACGCACGAAAATAAAGAGCACACACACACACACACACACACACATAGACACACACACACAGCACGCACGCACGCACGCACGCACGCACGCACGCACGCACACCTACCAACACGCTCACACACGCTCTTTTAAGCCGGCGGCGCAGAGGATCCTCAGGCGCGAGCAGCAAATGGAAGTGCTAATTGCGATCGAACGCTGTCGTATGCACAGTGTACAACGCTCTGTCTCACACAAACAAACACACACACACACACACACACACACACACACACACACACACACCAACAACACGGAAGAAATCGGCGACGCCGCGCGCGCGCGCGCAGCGCGCGCGGCGCCCACACCACACAAAAAACCACGCCCACGACGCTCACCGCGCCACACCCACACCCAGACTCCACACCCCCACACATATACATCTACAACACACACCACAACACACAAACCGACGCCCACACAACCAACGTCCACGCCCAAGGAAAAAAGAGGAACAATAATAAAACCCGCGCCCACAACCCCCACAAAACAAGGTAAAATAAACACGCCCACGCCCACGCCCACGTCCACGCCCACGCCTCGGCAAACGCCAACGCCCACGCCCAGGCCCCTGTAGACGTCCACGCCCACGCCTCGGCAAACGCCCACGCCCACGCCCAGGCCCCTGTAGACGCCCGCGACCGCGCCTGCGGCCGCGCCCGCGCCCACGCCCACGCCCACGCCCAAGTCCCACCCGCACCCACGCCCACACTCACACCCACGCCCAAGCCCACGCCCACGCCCACACCCACAACCCCACCAAAAGAACCTAACACCCCACGGCCCAAACGCCCGCGCCCACGGCCCACCTCACATACAAGCCACGCCCACACCCACACCCACACCAACACCCACGCCCACGCCCGCGCCCACGCTCACACCCACCCCACACCCATCTGGGTGGTCCCCTCGTGTCCCTGCCCACAGGGACCGCCACGATCCCAGGGAGGGAGGGGAATATTTGACCTGGGACCCCCCCCCCTACCCCCGTACCCCCCCTCCCCCCCCCCCGTCATGGTGCGGAAAGAAGGGCAGGGAATCGACTTAATTACTACGTTTCTTTTCTCTGTTTGTTGCAGACGACGATGACAACGAAGACGACGACAGCGTCTCACACACGCCGAAAGGTCGGCGGATTCTATTCTATACGACTCGTATGCGGTCTTTCGAGAATAATGTGCGATCCCTCCGGGATCCTGTAGGAAACCCACTGGAGTACTATACAATCCCCATGGGATCTCACCGGGATAGTATACGGTTCCTGTGAGATCGCATAGGGATCCTACAGGAACCATATACGGTCCCCATGAGATCCTATGGGGTCGCACACGACTCCTATGGGAACCCATAGCGGCCTTCTAGGATTCCGACGAGATTATACAAGAAGACCTTGAGATCTTGCAGGAATCTTACACGATTATTAAACGAGTCTTGTGGGGCCCGATGAGATTCCAATTCGCATCCTATGAGATCTTAGAGGGGTCGGAGAAACCCTTTGCGATTCCTGCGAGATCCGGTCGGAATCTTACACGGTCCCATCGAAATCGGATCGGAAAGCCATATAGCTCCAGTGAGAGCCCATCGGACACCCGTGCGATTCCTTGCGGTTCTGGCAAGTTCCTGTCGGATTCAGAGGAATCCTATGAGATTATTTAGGAATCCTGTAGGACCACGATGGGATCCGATAGGAGTCGTCTCCGATTCCTACGAGACACCATAGGAATCGTGTACAAGACCATCGGATTCCCATAGGACTCCGATCATATCCGATCGGCATCACATACGACTCCTATGACATCTCATAAAGAATGCAGGAGGAATCGCAGACGAATGACGCCATCAGCAGAGGAAGCCATTGGGATCCACAGGATGCAAGTTCAAATTCATCACGCTTCGCTTATTCCGACCAGCCCATTCAGAAATCTTGCCCATGAAAGCCGATACGAAACGGGACGAAGAGACACATATAGTGAAGCAAAGCGGGCGAGCAGAGTGAAAAGAGAGATCCTTGGGAGCGAGGGGGTGGCCAGTGAGGGCCTCTTCGGGCCATCCTTGGGGCCTGCGTGGGGCGAGGGAAGGAGGAGGAGGAGGAAGAGAAGGAAGACGACGACGACGATGATGACGGCGATGACGACGACGACGACGACGACGACGACGACGACGACGACGACTACGACGACGAGGAAAACGACGAAGAAAACTACAAAAACGACGACAACGACGACCACGACCACGACCACGACCACAACCACGACGACGAGAAAGACTAGCAAAAGGAAAACGAAGACGATGAGGGCAAGGACGAGGAGGAGGAGGAGGAGGTGGACAACGAGGACGACGAAAAAGCCCTCAAAATCGCCTCGGTGAGCCCTCTTGTGACTCTTTTGTGGAATCTTTATGTCCTCTTGGGACTCTATTGGGGGGTCTTGGGGCCATTGTGGGGTTCTCTTGGGGCCCTCTTGGAGATTATCAATCAAAAGAAGGGGAGGTCCTCTCTTTGCCTCCCCCACTGGGGCCATCAAAATCGCCTCTTGGGGCGCTCTTGGGGCGCTGTTGGGCCGGTCTTAGGAGCTCTGAGCGCCGTTTTGGGAGCCTCTTGGGCCCCTCTTAGACCTCTCTTGGGCCATCTTGGGACCATCTTGAGGCCTCAAATGCGCATCTGAAGCGAAAAGACGAGAAGGCATAAATCATTGCTTCTGATGTTTGAAGGATTTGGGCCTCTTGGGGTGGTCCTGAGAGGGCTCCGAGAGCACTTGGAACCGTCTTGTGGTCCTCGCCAGGCCTCTTGGAGGTATGTCGGAAACTAGATTGAACCATCGTCGGTTATTTTGAGCCATCTTAGAGAACACACTCGAGCATCGCGGGCCCTCTTGGAGCCATCTTGGGCCATCTTGGACGCTCTAATCCCTTGCGAAAAACACCCCAACAAAAGCAGGGATGGGAGGGGGAGGGCACCCCTCCCCAGAGGGAAGAGGGCCTCGGAGGAGGAAAGAGAGAGCTCGCTAGACCACCTTGGCCCAGAGGGCTGGTGGGAGTTGAGGGGGGGGGGGGCAGTGGACCAGTTCTTCATGCACCGATCTAGAACTGCCACATACGAGCCTATTTCAAGGGCGGAAAAAACGCCCATACCCTGATTTACGAGGCGCTGTGCGCTGAAACTCCTGTGGGCTGGCAGGGCAAACCCTGCGTGACGTGCCGCGTCCTGGCGGCTCTAGGCTTTGGGGGGTCCCAGGAGGTTTACAGACCATGCACTTGTAACCCAGGGTAGGGTCGGTTTTTCCATCCCTCCCTATTGGGAGAGCAGTCTCGGACTCTGGAGGCCCGCGTCCGGCGGGGACCGTCAGAACACGATCGGGGGGGGAAGCGTTCGAGGCGTCGTGCCCGAGAGGCTCCGGGGCCACGCAGTGACAGAAACAGAAAAAACAATCAACAACAACAACAGCAACAGCAACAGCAGCAGCAGCAACAACAACAGCAACAGCAATAGCAACAACAACCACGACCACAACCACAACCACAACCACAACACTAACAATAACAATAACAGTAACAGTAACGATAACAATAATAAGAACAACAACAACAACAACCACAACCAAAATCACAACCACAACCACAACCACA